GGTCCCTTTTTGGGTCCTTATGATAAGGGTGCCGTATTATACAGGCCCCGAAGGGGGCCCTAGTCTAGAGAACTACACAATCTGGCTCCTGAAGAATCAGATCTCTACCACCCTCACTTGAAGAAACGAGCCTAAACCTTCCAAACCCTGCTCAATCGTTTATAAATCCTAGGGTTTAGGGTTTAGGGTTTTTCCAACCTCTTCTCGAAGTTTCAACCGCAGACTGTGCAGCCTTCACATCCTCACGGTCTGGCAGACCCAAGTGTTCCTTTGGAGTGACGTAGCACAGCATTGCCGTCCTGAGAGCCATGTCAGGATGCTGTCACAGACTCTTGGGGCTTACAGGGTTTAGGGTGTAGGGTTGCTACACCCTTCTCGTACTTAAGTACATGGAGACGAAACCCAAAGATGCAAGTCCTTCCAAGAAGTGGGAACATCTCGCAACCAAGCCTACGCTGAAAGCACAGGCCATGACAGCACCCGATGCCGACGACCCAACATGTAGGATATAGGCAGGTCGCCCCATGGCACCAATGTTGGCCGCCCCGATAGCGGAGGTGATGTGGTCGTAGCCCGGAGCGATGTCTGTAGTCAGCGGTCCCAACGTGTAGAACGGCGCCTGACAAGATCCGATCAGCTTCAGGTAGGGCTTATTATGATTAGGTGCTCCTCCTTCGCAGGGGGGAAAGATGAGAGCTCCTACGACTTAGAGCGTCTTATTCGGCTCCCCCAATTGTCTGCAACTCCCGATGAAGCTTGCAAATCCCAGATTCACCATAACATTAAGTGCCTCGGAACCCCGCTGAAGGCTGGGCCTTTAGGGCTTTCAGCTTAGGGTCCCGCGTTTAAGGCTCCGGAGTTTAGTTTGGCGAGCTCTCTTTCGGTTTGGGCCAGTGGGCTCCGGGAGCCAAAAAACTTCGGCCTCGTGGCACCACTCCAGCTGCTTCCGCATGTTCTCCGGAATCCTCGGGAGTCCATCTCTAGGTCATCGGTGTATACACTGTGGCTTTTTGTTCGTGAGGCTTATAATGATGGCGCATTAAGCTTGCTTTCGGACCGTTGTTCTTACAGTATGGCTGTTTTTTGCTGTGGCGGTTGCCGTTGGGCTTCGATCTGCATGCATAAACAGTCCGGTCGCGCGACGAGCACATTGCGCACGAGCTGTACATGGGTGCAGGCTTCGACCACCTCAACGGAACGCTTGTTTCGAAACATGAACATAGCATATCCAGGCATTGTTGTTCTGTCTTTTGCCGTCCTTACACGCACTTGTGCTGGCTTCCTTGTTCTCTACCTGGCATAGAAAGCCCTGTCGGGGAACTTTATGATGACAGTAATAATGAAAATGTTGATAAGAGTTGTTCATAATAATCTTAAAGTACTAGATAGTACCTGCAATACTTGACGTTGTCAGTATTGGGCTTCTGTCCCGTAACTCCTTCCAAACTTGTCTTAAGTCGCCCCCACTCTTGGCCAGAAGGTCACTTGATGACTACGATTTGTCAAGCTACTAGTTGTCGGGTTGCTGCTGCACAAAGCACTAGTAGGTAGGTGCTGGTACTAGTACTGACGGTGGTAGCAGCAGTACGACTGTCAACCCTAAACCCCCCAAAATCCAAAACCCGAAAAAGAAAACAAAAACTTGAAGGTGCCCTTAGCCCATGCCCGGTCTTTGCAGCCGAAGGCACTTGTGCAGAGGCACGTGGCCCGGCCCTTCGTTCATCACCTCTTGCTTTGTTTGAGGTAGGGAGGGGTTACTAAGGGACAATAGGAGGGACCCC